GATGGGCACATTCCTCTTACTTGTGTGTGGTGTTTTTTTTTTTTGCAAAGATATTCCTTTTCCACTTAAAATTCTGCTGTCCAGGTGAGGCAATAATGCCAAAATTATAAACACCATTCTTTCAACCAATACCTTCTGCAACGTTACAATGCAACAACTGTAACTACATGTTATGAAAAGATGGATATCTATGAGCCAAGGTATCTATGAGCCAAGGGCCAGAAGACGTTTTGTGCCAAGATTTAAATGCCTACTGTAATGAACTAAGGATGTGTTTTGGAATTCACAGCAGTTAGCTGTGGAAACAATAGTTCTCTTTGTAAGGCAGGGCCACTGTGGATGTGATGTAACGCCAAATGGTACAAAATCTCCTTCCCAAAAAAACAAAATAAAGCGTTGCATTTAATCTCTTGATTTTTTTTTAACTTGCACAGGTCTCTAAAGTACAGCTTCTAAATTACAGTTTTTTTCTTTCAAAAGCTCTATTAATCATGCCAGTTAAAATGTCAGGTTATTGTTGGAAAAGTTCTGGGAATCAAATAGATTAATGACCAGATTTTCAGATAAGCATTTGGAAAAAAAAATAGGAGAGAAACTTTTTGCATAGTGCCTGCAGTGTGACTTTCACCGAGGGGAACTTACATGTTACGCAACTATTGTCTTTCCCACCATGAAATTCAAATTCTGTATTCAACAGAATATCCCAATGAGAAAATGCCCATGTGATTATCTAAGGGCACACTTTTAGCTGTTTTAGTTTGTTATGGATTTAATGGTGACTATCTTCTGTGCAATGCAAGTAATTATAATTTAGAGATGTGTCCTTGTGTTTGACAGTATTAGGGAACCGATAGTTTGAGGATGAGCTCTATGGTCATATGACCTTAGTTTGCTCTACATAGGGATGCCAAGCCTCACACTATAGTGGGAGATCTCCCAGCATTCCATCTTGTTGCCCAACAATCTTGTTGCCCAACAATGCTTGGGCACCAGCACAGAGGGGGGGACAAATAGAATAATAGAACCATGTGGTTGGAAGGGACCTCCAGAGTCATCTGGTCCAACCCCTGCCTAATGCAGGAAATTCACAAATACTTCCCCCCAAACCCCCGGTGGCCCCTGCTCTATGCCAAAAAGAGGGGGGGAACCCTCTAGGATCCCTGGTCAAATTGGCCTGGAGAAAAAATGCTTTCTGACCCCAAAGTGGCGATCAGCATTTCCCTGGGTATGTAAGAAATGGCTACAACAACTAAGCACTGAGGCAACCCTTCCTGCCCTCCCTTCTGGTGATCTGCCTAAATTCACAGAATCAGCATTTCTGTCAGATGGCCATCTAGCCTCTGTTTAAAAACTTCCAAAGAAGGGGAGCCCTCCACCTCCTGAGGAAGCCTGTTCCACTGAGGAACCATCCTCTATATGATAGCCCTTCAAGTACTTGAAGATGGTTAACATATCACCTCTCAGTCGTTTCCTCTCCAGGCTAAACATACCCAGCTCCTTCAACCTTTCCTCACAGGACTTGGTTTCCAGACCCCTCACTACCTTCGTTGCCCTCCTCTGGACATGTTCCAGCTTGTCTATATCCTTCTTAAATTGTGGTGCCCAAAACTGAACACAATACTCTAAGTGAGGTCTAACTAGAACAGACTAAAGTGATATCATCACTTTGCATGATCTGGACACTATACTTCTGTTGATACAGACCAAAATCTCATTTGCCTTTTTAGCTACCACATCACACTGCTTGACTCATGTTCATTGTATGACCTACTAAGACCTCTAGATCCTTTTTGCACATACTATTGCCAAGAGAAGTCTCCTCCATCCTATAATTCTGCATTTGATTTTTCCTACCTAAATGCAGAACTTTACATTTATCCCTGTTAACATTCATTTTATTTGTTTTAGCCTAGTTTTCCAGTTTGTCAGGATCATCCTGTATCCTGATTCTGTCTTCTACCATATTTGCTACCCCTCCCAATTTAGTATCATCTGCACATTTAATAAGCATTCCCTCTATTTCTTCACCCAAATCATTTATAAAGATATTGAACAAAACAGGTCCCAGGACAGATCCTTGAGGGACTCCACTTGTCACTTCTCTCCAAGAGGATGAGGAACCATTAACAAGCACTCTTTGGGTGTGATCTGTCAGCCAGTTACAGATCCACCTAATGTGCACTGATATCATGCTGGTGTGCTTATGTCACTTCTGGTAAAAACCCAATGTGACATAGGGGACTCTAGCATTTTATAAAAATGCCATAGTAAAACCATAGATTTTTTTTTTGAACAGCTAGAGTGTCCTCATGTCACTTTCAGTTTTTATGAAAAGTGACCTAAGTGTGCCAGCATCCCAAGCCCCGCCTTCCCCCTTCCAGGGGTTTGTTGCTGCAGTCTGACAACCATAGCTCTACACCAGGTCTTCGAGATCGCTGCACAAGATGTTTTAGTTGCTCTTCACATTGAAGTGGTTTTAAGCCATTCCTCTGCCTGGTGGTCTTTATCTGTAGACCCAAAAATATTACATAGTGTGGAGAATGGGTAGTACAAAAGAGTAGACATATCCTTACCTTGGATATTTGTGTAACAGAAATTCAACAGATGAACCCTTTCCATGTTGCTGATGCAGTAGCTGACACCTAGCAGGAAATGCGGGAGCAGAGAAATGAAGGGGTGTCATTGTTCAATGGCATGACATCATTTCCAAGGCAAACCTGGAAGTGGTGTCACACTGTTCTAGGGTTCTAGGAAATTCTGGAGCAGCATGATATCACTTTCCGTTTCCCCCTGAAAATGATGTAACACTGTTGAGACTGCAATTTATTCTGTATTTTTCCCATGCTGGCCCACCAAGCAGTGCCAGGGATCGGGGGACAGCTGGTGGGAGGTCTCCTGTATGGTGGCAGACATGGCAAACTTATGATGCAGCATGGTTGCCAGGCCCAGCCTGGGAACCAGTGAGAGACTGGGGAAGGCAAGGACATTGGGGTAGCTGTCAGCTGATGGCATAATATTATTTCTGAGTAAACCCAGAATGTAAGATCTATGAATCAAGGTAAGCTTGATGTGGTCAAAAATGAGATGGCAAGACTGAACATGGATATCTTAGGAATCAGTGAACTAAAGTGGACAGGAATGGGCGAATTTAACTCAGAAGACCATTATATCTTCTACTGTGGCCAGGAATCTCGTAGAAAAAATGGTGTGGCCTTTATAGTCAACAAGAGAGTGCAAAAGTCAGTACTGGGATACAATCTCAAAAATGACAGAATGATCTCAGTCCGAATCCAAGGCAAACCATTCAACATCACAGTAATCCAAGTCTATGCCCCAACCACTGATGCAGGTCCTTAAAGAAATGGGAGTACCAGACCACCTCACATGTCTCTTGAGAAACCTGTATAAGGGTCAAGAAGCGACAGTTAGAACCGGATATGGAACAACTGATTGGTTTCGCATAGCAAAAGGAGTACGACAAGGATGTATATTGTCACCTTGCTTATTTAATATATATGCAGAGTACATCATGCGAAATGCTGGCCTGGATTAATCACAAGCGGGAATTAAGATTGCTATGAAAAAGATCAACAACCGCAGATATGCAGACGATACCACTCTAATGGCAGAAAGTGAAGAGGACCTAAAGAGCCTCTTACTCAGGGTAAAAGAGGAGAGCGTAAAAGTGGGCTTGAAGCTCAACATCAAAAAAACTAAGATCATGGCATCCGGCCCCATCACTCCTTGGCAAATAGAAGGGGAAGTCGTGGAAGTAGTGACAGACTTCACGTTCTTGGGATCCCAGATCACCGCAGACTGTGACAGCAGTCATGAAATTAAAAGACGCCTGCTCCTTGGGAGGAAAGCGATGGCGAACCTAAACAGCATGATAAAAAGTAGAGACATCACCCTGCCAACAAAAGTCCGCATGCTCAAAGCAATGGTATTCCCAGTAGTCATGTATGGCTGCGAGAGTTGGACTATAAGGAAGGCCGAGTGCCAAAGAATAGATTCTTTTGAACTATGGTGCTGGAGAAGACTCTTGAGAGTCCCTTGGACTGCAAGAAGATTAAATCAGTCAATCCTAAAAGTAATCAACCCTGACTGTTCCCTGGATGGCCAGATAATGAAACTGAAGCTCAAATACTTTGGCCACCAAATGAGAAGGGAGCACTCACTGGAGAAGACCCTGATGCTGGGAAAGATTGAAGGTCAATGAAGACGAGGACGGCAAAGGATGAGATGGTTAGACAGTGTCACAGATGCAACGAACATGAAATTGAGCCAACTTCAGAGGACGGCAGAAGACAGGAAGGCCTGGCGTGATCCGGTCCATGGGGTCGCGAAGGGTCGGACTCGACTGTGCGACTGAGCAACGACAAAACCCAGAAGTGTAGATATAATGGTCTTCTGAGTTAAATTCACCCATTCCTGTCCACTTTAGTTCACTGATTCCTAAGATATCCATGTTCAGTCTTGCCATCTCATTTCTGACCACTTCAAGCTTACCTTGATTCATAGATCTTACATTCCAGGTTCCTATGCAGCATTGTTCTTTGCAGCATCGGACTTTCCTTTCACCATCAGATACATCCACAACTGAGCGTCCTTTCGGGTTTGGCCCAGCCACTTCACTCTTACTGGGGTTACTTGTACTTGCCCTCTGCTCTTCCCCAGTAGCATATTGGACACCTTCCAACCTGAGGGGCTCATCTTCCGGCGTCATATCTTTTAGCCTTTTGATACTGTCCATGGGGTTTTCTTGGCAAAAATACTGGAGTGAGTTGCCATTTCCTTCTTCAGGGGATCACGCTTGGTCTGAGTTCTCTGCTGTGGCCTGTCCGTCTTGGGTGGCCCTCCACGGCATAGCCCACAGCCTCATTGAACCACGCAAGCCCCCTTGGGTTCATGGCTCATGGTTAATCAATTCATTGGTTATTGGATATGACTCTGCAAACCCAGAGGCAGTTTTGTCATTCTGATTTCTTTATTCTTTGAAGGTTTGTTATGGAACCTGTCCTCCAATGACCAGCTGAAGAACTTGTTGATCCAAGAGGCCCTACATCCTTTGACCGAAATTGTTCTCATCCCTCACTCGGGCTGGCCAGAAAGAGACTATCCCAAATCGAGCATTGTACCTGACCCTGATATTTTCTACAATGCCACAGGATGCCTGAGGTAAGAGGAGAATATAATCCGGTTTTGAACTTCCCATGGCCCAAACAAATGCTTTCTTTCAGGCTGTACTCAAGTCATGTGTGTGGAGGGTGACTGTATCTGGCAGTTGTTGTCCAGCAAAATCCTTGAGATACAAAGGTCAAAGTAATGGAGTTCAATGGTTTCTTTGTGTGTGTTATGAAAACACATATTTCAAAGGCCTTAGTCCTGCGCCCTTATAAGAATCTGACACACAGACTTCACAGATGAAACCTTTCCCATTACTTATCTCTGTGGCAAAGGAAAAGTTTACTCGGCTGCTGTTAAAGAGGCAGGTAGAAGCCCAGTTGAAAGGCATCTATTTCAAAAACTTAAGCTCTGGCCACCTGTCCATTTGCTCTGTGGGAAATGAGCTTGGTTGTCTGGAGAGCAATTATAGTTGTGGGAGATCTTCCAGTGCCACCTGGAGGTTGGCAGCTCTAGTCAACTGACCTATAGGTGGTAAAGAAATGGTCCTGTCCATGTGTAATAAGCAGAGGCTGGGCCCTTGTGGCAGGGAGATAGCTTTTATGGATGAATATTTAATTTTTAAAAAATCTTGTAGGCGTTTCAGTGCTAGAGAGGGGGGTGTCCACATTCATTTACAAACAGTTAAAATTAAATAATGAAGAAAGCTGCATCATATGACTGCTGACATTGCTGTAGGGGAGAAATGGTCGCAAAATCACATCGGGTTCACCACATTGCTTTTGGTCTGTGCTGTTGCATGGAAGGTCTAAACCTTTCCTGAGATTCTCACTCACCGTGCTGTCTAATATTCCAAGCCTTAATCAGCCTGCTAAGTGAAGAAATGGGTTGTCTTTTCCCAGCAGCACTATATTGAATCTTGAGAGTGAAGGGAATGAAGTACTGTCTGTGCTGTGGATATTTTGTGCATGCAGAAGTTCCATCATATAAGCAGAGAATCTTGACTCCCAGTTTTTCCAAAGGGGTGGGAGAACCACAAAGATTAGCTCTTGTCAATGAAAAGTTGGGAACTGGGGCAGCGTTTCCAGTCCTGGAGGGGTAAAAGCAGATGCACAAAGGGTTTCTCCCCCACCACACACACACACACACACACACACTACACAAAGGCACCAAAGCATAGACAGATTGGCTGTACAGGTTCGGTTAAGTCTGAATATCTGTGGGAGTCTTCCAAGGCCACTGATGTCAGGTCAGTAAAGAATAATTAACCAGCACAAAGTGAGAACATTGAGACTTGGCACTGATGAATGCAAATAAAACCGAGGGGAAGTTTGTTTATTTGACGGTTGACTTTTTGGTGTCATAAACATTGTGAAGTTGTACTTGCTGTGTCTTGGATCACTGTGAACTGATTGTGACACCTGTGGACTTTGTTTTGCTCAGGAGTGGTTATGTACCTGTTAGCTACACTTTAAGAGAGCAGCAAGCCTTATCTCTGAACACTCAAAGCACGTATTCTTGACTGAAGCCAGGCTCCGGCACATATTCTGCCAAAGGGGAGGATTTTCCACTACCTGGGAGCTTCCACTTAAAATGCCTTCTCATCTTCCTTTGATGTTTTGATATTGCACAGATGAGACCTTAAGAAGTGGATCCCCTGAGGATCTCAAGGCCCACAGCTAGACATAGAGGAGGAGGCAGCCCTTCAGATATCTAGGGTCTACAGTGTCAAAGCAGGCACAGTGTTGGAAGCTCCAAGTATGGAACATGCAGGCATTTTTTATGGGGTTCCTATTGTAAGTTACTGCTTTAAAAAGACACATAGAACTCTAATTCAGATCAGGACTGTGGGAGAGAAGGAGGTGTAAGCCTTTCTTCCACCGTGCCATTTTTCCGGACTGAAAGAGCCCTACGGATCTGCTGTTTGCTCCATTTGGGTAAATGCACATGTCTTCATTCTGGAGCAGATCGTAGCTCTCTGGGAAATGGCATAAGGGAAGGCTTCACACCATCCTTCCTGCAACAGTGTGGTCTCTGTCCAAATCTGGGCCCTGCGCGTTAGCTATTTTAAAAGAGGAAAACACTTGGGAGCTCATACATGGATCTCACAGCATCATCTGTGTTTTGACCATAACTTGTCATTTGTCAAACACAGCTCAAATGGATTTTTGATAGAGGTGCAGGGCTGGAGCATGATTGCCACAACTGAACACCAATCTGAGCCATATAATCATTAATAAGAGAGACCTCTGAACTTGGAGGGAAGGTAACTGCCCTTTTTTGGGACATTCCCCCCAAAACTCTGTGATACCTCTGCTGGCTTTCTGAATCCATTTCAATACTTTTAATATTGCTGTTTTAAAAATGAAATTTAACAGTATAATCCTCAGAAGAGTTACAGCCTTCTAAGCCCATTAACGTCAATGGATTTAGAAGGGTGCCACTAGGGTTCCCAGCTTCCAGGAGGGGCCAGGAGTTGTCCTGGAATTACAGCTGATCTCCAGGCAAGAAAGATCAGTTCCTTGGAGAAAAGGGCAGCTTCAAAGGGCAGAATCTATGGTTTACTATAAATACTAGGTGATATCCCTCCCAAAATTCCCCCCTCCACGGGCTCTACCCCAGAATCTCCAGGAATTTCCCAGGCCCGGATTGGCAACGCTGTTCTAGGTATCACAAAGCTTGGGTGTGGCCAGAAGTGCATGGCCAAAGGTGACTTGCAGGCAGTGCCTTTGTATGAGCCAGCTCTTGAACGCTGGACCAGCCCAATATAAACTTTGTTGTCTTGTGTTGTTTTGTTTGTTGGTTTATATTGTGTTTGTGTGTGTTGTTGTTGAGCCACTTTGTGTCCCTTTGGGAAGAAAAACAGGACACAACTATTTAAATAACATACATTTCTGGTTGTGTGCTGACTGCTGGAGCCGTAAACGGCAGCCTTTCTTCAATGCCAAATCTACGGAGTCTTGCGGATTTCTACAGAGTTAGATGGTTTTGCTAGAGAGGCCCATGGTGAAAAGCTAAGCATGGAAGATGAAATGTGTGCTGACAAATAATTTGCCTAAATGCTTGCACATCTGCCTAGATTACAAATCTCCAATTAGTCCTTCCTTTTGTAATAGCTGACATGCTCATTGCTTGGGTTGTAAAAAACTATCGCCTGCAGCCTTGGTTGCAGAAAGGAAACTCAGGCTGCTGTTGGCATGCATAACTATCGGAGTTGTTCTTGATCCAGTTGTTACATGTTGGGGAGGTAATGGATGAATTGCAGCAAAAGACAAATTACCCCAAGTGTAGGGAGGCGAGCATTTCTTAAGAACAAAATCTAAGGCTAACCCTGTAATCCTCAAAACAGCCCCGTAAATTAGGTGAATATGAATATCCTCATAGTGCAGATGTGGGGCTGAGGCTGAGAGAGGCTGGCTTGCCTAAGGCTACCAGCTTCAGGTACGGCCCGGAGATCTCCCAGAATTGTGTCTGATCTCCAGACTACAGAGATCAGTTCTCATGAAGAAAAATGGCTGCTTTGGAAGATGGGGCCCCCAAATCTCCAGGAATTTCCCAATCTGGAATTGGCAACCCTAGTATGACAGAGGTAGGGTTACCAAGTGTGAATTCAGCCGCAGCGGGGGACTGGCAGCTGGAGCGCACGCGCCGCATCCACATCGCCTGGAAGTGATGCGGGCACGCCGGGCACGCTGGGGGTGGGGCCATGACCATCCGAGGGAAAACCATAGAGTTTTCCCTCGGATGACCATGGCCCTGCCCCCAGCATGCCTGGCATGCCTGCATCACTTCCGGGCGACGTGCATGTCTGGGTGGAGTTCCCCCTGGGGCCCGATCTGCCGGCGGCGGGGAACGGGCCTCTGGGGTGGGGGTTTCCCCGCCCCCGGGGGGACTTGGCAAGCCTAGACAGAGGTGAGTTAAACTGGGGATACCCTGATTTGTAGCTTTACTCTTTCAGCTGCTACATAGCACCAGCTTGGTCATATTTTTATCCCACCCTTCCTTTAAGGCTATCAGGAAAGTATGCTTGGTTTCTTATGCTCCCATTTTATCGTCACACAACCACCCTGTGAGCAGTGTTCCCTCTAAGCTGAGTTAGTGTGAGGTAGCTCACAGTTTTTTAGCCTCCAGTTCACATGTTTTTGTCGTAGCTCAGGAAGGATGGCTCCAGAGCAAACTAATTTATGCGGTAGCCAAATTGCTCACTCACAACTTTAAGGCCAGCAGCTTACAAAGTAGAATTTTTGCTCACGAGACTCCACCGCTTAGAGGGAGCATTGCCTGTGAGGTAGTCAAGGGCAGAAGTAACATAAATATCTTACTGGGGCTTGAAGCAGAAGATGGGGGTTAGCACTTGAGCCTCCTTCTTAATGTCGTTCACAGCCACTTGTGCCAACTTTCTTGCTTGCTTATATATTTATTTTATTCATTTATAGTCCACTTTTCTCACTGAGAGTCAAGGTGGATGAATTACTTTTACCTCTGGAGGTAGGTTACACTGGTGGAGTGACTGGCTTTCGAGCAATGGAACCTTTACCTTTACCTTTTTACTTGGCACCAGAGGTCATTTCGGGGGGGAACGCAGGGGAACGCAGTTCCCCCGGGTGAGGTGTAGGGGGCGGGGCACATGACGAAGCCCCACCCCCTGCTTCCGGCCGCCCCGCTTCCAGCCCTCATTCAGCCAGGAGGAGGCAGGAGAAGAGGGAGGGTAAGTTGCTTCCTCCCCGCCTCTCCCCACCCCTGCCTGCCTGGGGCCAGGGAGGGCCTTGGCAGGGCTTCCTCGCACTCCCGCTGGCCTTGCAGGTCCACCACCGGGCCCCTGATGTCAGGGGGTGTGGCATATGCTAATGAGTTATGCTAATGAGTTCCCCTAGCTCTTTTTCTACGAAATGACCCCTGCTTGGCACTGAGGTTTGGGAGCAATTGACTTCCCCTTTCCTGTCTATCTCCAGCTAAGAGAGAGAAAAACTTTTAAAACTAAGTGTGGAGGTTTCATCAAGCCCAACCCTCCAAACAAAATGCATTTTTCTATACCATGGAAAGCAAACTATTTC